TGGATGAATTATTCTATTTTGGATTATTTTGGTGCATATTTGGGTTGAAGCTCCATTCTGATTTTGATGCAGCTCTGATCACAAGTGGATAGCTGGGAACCAGAAAGCCAATTACAAGGTGGGCTGAATTTTCCTCCCCATGTCTACGAGGCATTCGCACACCCACACCAACACCACCAAATTTCCGAAGTCGTGTCCTGGTCGAAATGGGCTGCGGCTGGGTATTTTTTGATTGCAGTTTGTGTTGGTATATGTTGACATTGTGTTGGTATATGTGGTCTCGAAATTGCTGCAAACTTGCACTTATGATGGGGAAGATTGATGAAATTCATCATCGGATTTTAGGGCTATCTTCAGACAAATCCAAAGAGACATGTATGATTTCCCAAATTAAGATCCTGAGAGCCGCTGATGTTTAGAGGAAAGTAGGCATGGTTTGTGTAGCTGCGTAGCTTACATCTCACCGAGATGTTCTGCCGACAGTACGTGTGACAGGTGTGCCATGACCCATATTTGGTCGGTGGTTTGGAACATGTTTTATTTTTCCATATATTGGGACTAATATTCCCAACTGACAAATATTTTTCAGAGGGGTTGAAACCACCAAACAGATATGATTCGCCATCTGCAGGCAATCCAAAAGGCTTGGCAATGGAGAAGCTTCGGCCATCGATGACGAAACCGTCCAGATCGAGGAGGGGCGTAGGGGGCCAGCCCACTTGGCGGCGCACAGCAGGTCACACCCATCGAGGGAGATAGATAGATAGATAGATAGATAGATAGATAGATAGATAGATAGATAGATAGATAGATAGATAGATAGATAGATAGATAGATAGATAGATAGATAGATAGATAGATAGATAGTAGAGAGATAGAGAGATAGAGAGATAGAGAAATAGAGAGATAGAGCGATAGAGAGATAGAGAGATAGAGAGATAGAGAGATAGATAGATAGATAGATAGATGTCTAGACAGATTGATTGATTGATAGATAGATAGATAGACAGATAGATAGACAGATAGATATGTATGTATACATCATATTTATATTTGCATTTATGTTTATATATGTATAAATGATATATATATAATATATGTGTGTGTGATGTGTATATATTTTTTTACTATTCAGATTTATTTAGTATTATAATAGTATTATATATATAGTATGTTTTAGTTCCAGTCCCACTTAGTTTTATTTGTTTGATGACAGTTTACCCTTTGGTAATCTAACCCCCAGGTGAGTTGCATAATTTTTCAGATATTTGTTTCTTTGCATCGTTGGTTTCGTGAGACTGCTGATCATTTGCTATCCTGGATGATTGGATGCCAGGATCATCCTGTAGCAACCGCTTGATTGGCTTGATTCTATGAGACCAGAAGCTAGGTATATTTTCCAGATTTTTCCACATGTCCATCCTGAACAAATGGTTGCATGATTTGCACGATTTGCTCAAAGAACTTTGGCACAAAGGGTGATCACCGGGTGATATCGAACAGATCTCAGGGGTTTTCGCTACATCCACCGTTAGTGCGTGATGTGTGTGGCCGGAAAGCTGAGCCAACTCAGGATTGGTTAATCGGGTGAGTGGATCTCCAAAAAAATCGTGCTGTGGACAAATTGAAGCGTCGCTTAAGTTCAACAGTTTACCATGACTTCCGCAACCTTAAACAAAAATAGATTCAAATAGATATAAGATACTCCCAAAGTGTTGAACAGGGTTTCCTTGTCCAGGAAATTAACTGGTTAAACAATCGCACCAAACCGCTGCTGTTTTTGGAGGAGACTTGGGAGTATGAAGAGGCACAGTTTTTGTGGGAGATCCTGTTTTTCGAGTGGGAGCAACAACCGCCTGTAATCTGGTAAAGACCCCCGGAAAAGGCCTGAAACAAAGATGGTTTCGCTATTGGAAATTACGAGTTCCCAGCCGCTGACATCTGCAAAAGGATTTGGTCTCAGTAGGGTAAGGACTTCCACATTCATTCAGAACATCGTGGGGGCTAGTTTAGGTCTCATGCTCCGGGATTCCCACAATCCTTCCGATGGTGTTTGCATGTGTTTGCGCGTTGTTCCGAAGATGTAAGACAATTATCTCAAAGATATTCAGTCATCCTTAAGCCCATGGCTTCCCTGTTGCATTTTTCCCAGTAATCCCATCACCCTAATATGAAACACCCCCATTAATGGTCCCAATTATATTTATGTGGAAATTCCTACTAAACCATACTAAACCATTACTAAACCATGGTTTCTAAGGGGGTGTTTAATATTACGGGGAAGGGATTAGTTAGCTGATGAAATGGTGCACTTGAGCGTAAGCAGTAGCTCCTGGAAGATCCTGGAAGTTGCCATGTCCTGATTTTGGTGAACTTGCTATCGGATATGTACCACCAACTATCACCATTATTGTTGGGATTTGAGATCATAGACGTCCTTTTCAACCATTGGTTGGTGGATTAGTAGAGGCTTTTCTTTTTGAAAAAATAGGTATATGAATGTAGATGGTTGTAGATGATAATGATACCAAACCGGCCCCTTGACTTAGCCTGAAATATCCCAAACGTGTTTGAGATGTTGTTGCTTCTGTGATTCCCTGATCGTCCCATATATGAATCCATATGATGGTTTCCTAAAATAGGGCTACCCCCAAATCATCCAGTTTATTTTCGGATTTTCCCTTAACCATCCAGCTCTTGGATATCCCATGAAAATGGAAACCCCCATATGGAAAACCATTATGGTGACATGATTTTCGGATTTTCCATTCTAAATCCAGCTATTGGGGTACCATGGGGTACCTCAAAATGACGAGTGCGCCAGGACGGTGATCCCACGGCCTTCAGTGGACCCTTTTCTGCCATGAGCTCGAGGCGGCGTCCAGGATGATGTCAATGGATTTTGGGAAAGTCTTCACCGGAAACCCATCGATTTTCCCGTTTATGTGGCTGTTTGGAGGTTTGGAACCATGGAATTTTATGACTTTCCATCTGGTTGGGAATGTCATGATCCCAATTGACGAAGTCCATCATTTTTCAGGGGTAGGGTTCAACCACCAACCAGGTGAGGTTTTCATGCTATGTAAATGTTAAAACCAATCCATTGACGACGGCGGTGCATGGTCCTGATCATTGAAGATCCACGGCTGCTTGATGAATTCATATGAATTCTGATGCTGGTGGAGATGGCTAGTGGTTGCTTTGGCAGTGATGAGTGATATATATATATATATATTTGTACAGTATATATATATATGTATAAATATGTATTTCGAAGACCCACGAGCGGGGTCGGCGATTTCGTCTTCGTGCAACTTTGCGACCTCACTGCGAGCTGTATTTCAGGTTGTAAAATGATATAGGGTTGTTTTCCCATCAAAGGGGATTGGTATAGATTGGTCATCAATCCTTCAATAGAGATTTATACGCCAATTATAAGGATTCCCAATATGAGATGGATGACCACAATCCACATACCATATTTCGACCGTGGCATAGATTATTGCCATGGAAGAACTTGAATGACTCTTAGCCACTGGATTTTGCATATTGCCCAAACTCTAAAAGCAAAACAGTAGCATTTAGTCTACATAATAGTTAGTCTTGATGGAGATGAAGAGGTTCAGTATCATAATAGTGTGCCAGTGTGGTAAACCCAAGGATATACTGCAAGCCTTTGCGAAGGAAAGGGCACGCAGGTTAACGCCCAGTTGCTACGTGGTTCATAGCCATGGTACTACATAGATGTAAATGGGGTAACCCCAGTTGCCACTTAAAGAAGTTTTTCCAGGATTGCATCAAGGCACAATGTGCAGGAAGCTTCCGAGAAAAAATACCGGGGAAAAATCATGGTTTCCTGCGGATGTTCCCTTCAATCAACCCGTTACAATATCTTATACCCTCTGGTTATGACTAACATAGCCATGGGAAACCCGGAAATGGCCCATAGAAAAAGATGGTTTACCTATTAAAAAAAATGGTGGATCTTTCCATGGCAAACTCTTAGTCATAACCAGATGGTAACCAAACGTTCGAACAAAAAAAAGTTCCATTCGTTCGCTCAGAGATTCGAATCCTAGAAGGTGGGCTTGGCCAGTGATGTTTGTTGGCAAGTAGAACCCTGCTATCTATACAATTACACACATATATATATATATATAATTATATGTATATATATATATATATATATTCCCCCATATAAACCATATAAACCAGAGTTTAACAAGTTAGAAGTCCACTCCATTCAACTTAGCTATTTCTCCAGGCCTGCCGCCGCCAGGCCCTCGATGCGTTCCCACAATCCCAGCCTTCGTTCGAGAACCGCCAGCCAAAAGATCAAAGCGTCGGGGTGGCCCTTTTCGCCATGGCGGGTCCGTTCTTCGTTCACTGATGAAATATACATTGCCATGGAAAGATCCACCATTTTTAATAGGTAAACCATCTATAGATGTTATGACATTCACAGTTTGCCATGGAAAGATCCACCATTTTTAATAGGTAAACCATCTATAGATGTTATGACATTCACAGTTTGCCATGGAAAGATCCACCATTTTTAATAGGTAAACCATCTATAGATGTTATGACATAACAGTTTGCCATGGAAAGATCCACCATTTTTAATAGGTAAACCATCTATAGATGTTATGACTAACAGTTTGCCATGGAAAGATCCACCATTTTTAATAGGTAAACCATCTATAGATGTTATGACTAACAGTTTGCCACCATTTTTAATAGATCCACATCTATAGAAACCATCTAACAGTATGATCACCATTTTTATGACATTCACAGTTTGCCCATGGAAAGATCACCTTTTTTAATAGGTAAACCATCTATAGATGTTATGACTAACAGTTTGCCATGGAAAGATCCACCATTTTTAATAGGTAAACCATCTATAGATGTTATGACTAACAGTTTGCCATGGAAAGATCCACCATTTTTAATAGGTAAACCATCTATAGATGTTATGACATTCACAGTTTGCCATGGAAAGATCCACCATTTTTAATAGGTAAACCATCTATAGATGTTATGACTAACAGTTTGCCATGGAAAGATCTACCATTTTTAATAGGTAAACCATCTATAGATGTTATGACATTCACAGTTTGCCATGGAAAGATCCACCATTTTTAAGAACGGTAAACCATCTATTTCTCTGGACCATCTATACCATGGCAAACTGTTAGTCATAACCAGATCATATTCCAGTCACATCAGTCACCCAAAATAGACAAATTCAACAACTGGAAATATGGGATGAATATCAGCGACACAATGCTACACACTTCGATCTGTTTAAGGGTGACTATAGTAGAATCTAATAAGGTGTTTTTTGCCATATACAATTAGATACAATTATATATACCATATAATTACAATTATATACACCATCAACCAAGTTGACTATTGTTTTTGTTTCCGTTTTTGCCAGGTGTTCGGGGGGGACGAGTCAAACTGAGGCAATATGAAGAGCTCTTGGTGTGAGTATGAGTATAAGTCACGCAGTGTTGGCATAGGTTGGCATAAGTATATAATATACAGTATACATATATATATATATATATACACGTGTTTTACGTGTTTCCACAGGGAGATGATATAGACAAACAGATGTATCTTGACCTTGATTGTGTTTTGGAATGAAATATGCAATGGCATTTGCTTGCTGTCACATGGTGGATAGAAAGATGCGGATCAGGAAGCACGTTTTGCTCTTGATGTCAGAGATATTGTGGTTGAACTGATTCAACTATCATAAGGCTGCTTCCAATGTGGCGTTGTTGATTATGCTGAATATCACATGATATACAGACATATCAGAACAGACCAATGATTCAAAGGCGTGTGCTATTTCATGTATTTCAGCAATGAAAGTTGCAATCAATGGTCAGCGGATGAATGGGTGAGTGTGAGTGATGCGTTGGCTGTATCACAGTGTAACTTGCATGAATTGATGTCAGGTTTCACCCAGATGGGTATGTCTCAACAATGCTGGTTGCATGTTTTGGCCAGGTGGGCAAGGGCTGAACCACCAGATATGTTGTGAAAATGTACGTTGGGTTGTTGGGAAACTATAGCTACTGACCATGATTTCACATTGATTTCAGGTATTTTTCATCTGTTTGTCCTTTATCCCTATGTCAGTGTTGAATCCCAGGCTTTTTTGGATGACAATCGTCCAGATGTGTCATTCATTCTTCGTTTTATCCACCCTCACCCACTAAGACTGAATAGGAAAGGTTAATTTTGCCAAGGATGTTGGACATTGATTAGTAGAATGGGCATGATTTGCACAAAGTTTTCGGGAAACGCATTCTCTACTATGACTTGTTCTGCGGTGAGTGAAGGAAAACACGCCGTTTTCGGAAATACGTCTTGTTTCTCCAGACGGAATAAGTCAGTTCCAATATGCTTCTTGTGGCAACAGAAATTCATAAGCTCAAATCAGCAACCACATGCATCAGCACCTTTTCTTTCGATCCCCCTTCTTACTGTAATCCGCCAAACGTTCCCTGGGGAAAAAGAAAGGTGGAAAGGCATTGTAGATGAAAATGATCTTGGAATCATTCATTCTTTCTGGATGATTCTTTTTGGACACCAGTGTTAAGCTCTCCCCGGCCTCCTGAGGTTGCCATCCAGCAGCTCTGTCACAGCTGAGCAGAGCGCTGCTTCAAAGGTCGCTTTGTTTTTGTTGAACCATTGGGCAGGTTGGGAGGCAATTTTCGGGACGATCTTCTCAGAATTTGGGGAAACACATAGCATGGAATCCCTACACGGATCTCTGGGAACGATTTTTCTGGGGGAAACCAACACGATAAAGGTTGATTTTGGTTGTTGGACAGTTAGTTCACGAATCCAAGCCATCCAAACATTGGGATGTTGACATTGGAAGAATGGAACTTTTTCGTGATTTCAATGAAATCAGGCAGTTTTTGTATGTTTTTGTTAGGTAAGAAGATGTAAACACCCTGCAATGGCCCTGCAAAAACATACAAAAAACATGGGTTGATTGACGACTGGTAGGTTGCTTTCAATCCAAGAAGCTGGAGAATGTCATGCAATTTGGACGGGCTCAGAAACACAGCTTATAGATTGAAAAACTAGACCTATCTAGACCTGTTCCTATTCAACAGTCAAAGATCATCAGATAATCCATATTTATGGGATCATCCCCAACATTCATAGAATTGGATGATGGGAAAATTTACAGGAAAGCCCTATATTTGATGGTAAAAACCATGGTTTCCTGTAGATTTTCCCTAAAACCAATCCAATGAAACATATGGTGGTAACAACGAGGGATCATCATTTTCCTCTTGGTTTTTGGAGATGATCAGCCCCGCGTGTCCAGTACATCCAGTACCGAGCCTGCCAGGACATCAAGAAAGGCTCCACAGCACGGATGATCCAGGCATTTGAGGTGCGAGGAACGTGTGGAAGAGGAGGGCTTCAACAGGAAATGGTAACAAGAACTGGGATATGTACATT